ATTGTGATGGTGATGCTGATTGTGATGATGGTTGTAACAATGATGTCGGTAATGGTGATGATGATGATGATTGTGACGCTGATGATGATTCATGGGAAGGGTGATTGAATGTAAACAACAGTTTTTAAAAAAATTTCGTAGCGATGACAGAGTTTTCTTTAATCCGGTTCGAATTTTTGTTTGCATTTAAAATTGAAATAAAAAAATTAACACTTTTGAATTGGGAGACTTGAAACAAAGGAATAAAAAGTTGGTACGAACAAATTTTGTTTCTAAATGCATATTTTGTAAAAATCAACCATGTGTAATAAAACATCACACATACACAAACTCAGACACACAGATACAAACACACTCACACATACCAACACATACAAACACACACAAATAGAGACGAACGCAAAAACACAAACAGGCACACTCGCATACTAACACACAAACTTGAAATGAATTTTTACTTCCTTGATTCTGAATAGAGATTTGTACAATTTTTCTTTCTGTTCATCCTTACTTTCACAAAATTTTTCGATTTTACTATTTTGCTTAGACTTTCTTGTTTTAAAATTCTGCTGAATGTCCTTAGAACACTATGCAACGTGTAAGTTTTTTGATTTTTCATTTCAAAAAAATTAAAAAAATTTTTTTTTTAAATCTCTTCCAAAGTTCTGCTATTTTTTAGAATAGTTGTTTGTGTGCTGGCATGTTTGTTTGTTTGTTTGCATGTCTGTTTGTTTGTACGCATGTTTGCATGTTTGTATTTGTTTGCTGGTTTTGCTTATTATTTCTATTGCCTTTGTTGTTCATTTTATCTCTTTGTTTAGTTGCATTTTTTTTTCTGTGACATTGAAATCATATTCACTCACTCACTCACTCACTCACTCACTCACTCACTCACTCACTCACTCACTCACTCACTCACTCACTCACTCACTCACTCACTCACTCACTCACTCACTCACTCACTCACTCACTCACTCACTCACTCACTCACTCACTCACTCACTCAATCAATCAATCACTCAATCACTCACTCACTCACTAAATCACTCAATCACTCACTCACCCACTCAATCACTCACTCACTCACTCAATCAATCACTCAATCACTCACTCACTAAATCACTCAATCACTCACTCACCCACTCAATCACTCAATCACTCACTCACTCACTCACTTACTCACTCACTCACTCACTCACCCACTCACCCACTCAATCACTCAATCACTCACTCACTCACTCACTTACTCACTCACTCACTCACTCACTCAATCACTCAATCACTCACTCACTCACTCAATCACTCAATCACTCACTCACCCACTCAATCACTCAATCACTCACTCACTCACTCATTTACTCACTCACTCACTCACTCAATCACTCACTCACTCACTCACTCACTCACTCATTCATTCATTCATTCAATCATGTATTTTATTCCTGTCACTTTTCATGGCTTTCTTAACAGCGGTCTGAATGACACAAACAAATGGCAGAGCTCTCTTTGATGCCGTTGCCCGAGTGAAATAAATAAATAATTAACAAATAATAAATTAATAATTCAAATAATTTGAATTATCGCTCTTATAACTTTTTTGTTTCTATGGCTGTTTCAAACAAAGAAATAATGTAATTTTAATTAGTGTTGGCTCGTACGAATAAAACATAAAATACTGTCATGAGAATGTTGGAATGGTGATATTGATGTGAAGATGAAGAATTTTTGATGAAATTGTGATGACACCGTATTGTAAGAATGATAAAACTTTGATGAAATGATGATGAAACTATGGTGTAGGGATGATGAAAGTGTGAGGTTTTGACGAACTTGGGGATTTCCATTTTTTAGTTCTCTGTATTTTATCGTTCGTTTTATTCTCTTAATCCACTTCATTGGGACATACGTCTGTCTCAAAAATTTATACTATCTTTTTTCGTAATTTCTCATTCTCTTTTTTCTTCTTTTGGTCTTTCTCTCTCTCTTTCTCCTTTCCTTTCTCTCTCTCTCTCTCTCTCTCTCTCTCTCTCTCTCTCTCTCTCTCTATCATTTTCCGTTGTCTATATGAGTATAAATACGTAAATAAAAAGATATTGCAATTATTGAATTAAACAATTAGTTAACATTTAATAAATCAATAAATAAATTTGTCAGTTAATTAATTAGATAATTAAAAACAAAATTAGATAATTGATAATTAACAACCCACCTGCTTCTTTCACGGCGACGAGCATTCTTTCCTCTTCTCTCCCCTTCTCTCCTTCACCATCATCGTCATCTTTGCCATCATTATCATCAATAAAGTGCCAATAATCATCACCATCACCATCATCAACATCGTCGTCGTGATTATTATCATTTCCTCTATCATCATCATCACCATCGTCGCCATCGTCATCATCGTCATCATCATTTTCCCCTGGTGGGGCGTTTGCAGCCTTGCTCCCATGTTGGACGTAGAACAAATGATAAATGACGTTTTTGCCTCCTGCAGCCGACGAACTTTTCCTTGCAGTCGAGACGTTAACTTGGATGCGCTTGGTTTCGAACCCGGCTCCTTCGACACTGACGTAGAACCAGAGTTTGTAGATATGCCGTGGTCTGTTGAGAGTTACGTGGCAGTGGAATTGCGTGCGAGGGCTGGGGAAAATTGGGTGGAGGGACATGCGGTAGGCGTCACCTGGTGATGAAAATGTTGGTGGTGAAGATGGTGGTGATGATGTTAAAATGATGATGGCAGAATGATGATGACAAATGACTTGGCTTTGTTGCTTATAATGACTTAGACATAAATAACTACATTTAACAATTAATACAATAGAGCTAGTGAAGTTGCATGTTTTTTACAAAAAATAATGTTGATATATTGTGGTGATTATGACGTCATAAGATGATGGTGATGATGATAATGATGATAATGAGGGTGATG